TTTTGACTATTTTAAATATCACCTAAAAGTAATTCAATCAAAGTGGGCAGTACCTTAATTCAATCACCCGATTGATCCAAAGTAATTTTCTTATTTTTCTTTAAATATAATATTTAATTTTATGAAATAAAAATATTTTATGATTCATATGTCTACACCAAATGATAGTATATTAAGATTATAAATTATATATCTAAAGATGAACTATTTATTTTCATTTTATGCATATTAATAAAAAATAAAGATAGTAATTTAAAAAAAAAATTAAGATTAATTGATTGGGTATGCAATTTAAAAAATATTTTTAGCGTTCAACATGATTGAATTTTTGGATTTTTGGATTAAAATATATATATTTAAAATAATTTTATCATTAAAAGTCAAAAAGAAAAGATGCCAAAAAGATTACAACTTTAAAAAGTTTGTAACCATTAATTTATGAACCCTCCGATTTTAAATGATTTATAATTTTTGAAACATGATACGTGCATTTAAAACCCATTAATCTAGGAACTATTCAATTTTTTGATAATGAATTAAAATTAAAATGTAAAAGTTGCTAAAAATAGTATATAATAAATGTGGTTGACTTTTCCTTACTACTATTTATAGTAAATGTTAATTCTTATTATATATATATAGATTTATTATGTTAGGCTAGGTTTTTATTTCTAGTTTCGGTGATGTTGAACCTTACGATTGACGATGTTTTAATTAATTTACATGGTTGATAATTTCAATATCTTTTTAGAATTGCTTGTGTTATTTTGAATAATTAACCATGATGTGTTGAGTCTTATTTAGATTGATCACCTAGATTAGGCTTTTCATATCTACAGCTGAATTAGACCTTCAATCCGTGATTGTTGTTGTGTTTAATTCATTAGAGGCTATCGGAAGACGGTAACTACCGGGATAACACGGCCTATTTAAGTGGACATTGTAAAGGAGGTTGCTATAAACTATTTTGAAGAAAAAAATATTTAAAAGGCTAAGTCTGGTAAACTTAGAGCACGTTTGTTAGCCTAGATAGGACAAGATTATGCCTCCAATCCACCTCTAATCTCATGTTTGTTTACCATGATTCCGGCCCGCACGATAGGATAAGGCCCGCGATGAACAGTGTTAAAATCATGGAAAACCGAGACTAACTGATCTTGGCTGGGGGGGTAAGATAACTTTGGTCTACAGTAGATTATATACAAAATTACAAATGTGTCCCTTAAAGTAAAACTTAGTGACCATATTAACCTTTGTTGGTGCCAAAATTACTCCTCCCCATCATTTTCCCTTCTCTACACCCCGTATAGATTTTCTCCATCCCCTCTTTCTTCTTCTTTTTTTTTTCCTTTTTTTTCTAATTCTTTCCAGTCCTAATTCATGTTCAGGGTTCAGGGTTCAAGGTTCACGTGGTTGAGTTCACCACTTAGTCTAACCTATTTTTCTAATTCGTAAATAGGCTAATTGTATTAAATCTTGAAAACATTTTTTTGGACTGTACAAGAAGTCAGGTTTAATCGTAGAGCGTCTCGCGGTTAAATTAAAAATAAGAAAAAATTTGGGTAACAGACCGTGTCGTTACCTAGGGCTAGTAATTTCATTAGATAGCGAGATTTGATACCAAAGTTGATTAGACGAGTCAGTCGAAGATGTAGACGGAACCATGAACTAGAAGTTTTCTCTTAATTTATTTTATTTTATTTTCTTATTTATATTTCATTCTTAGATAGATTAGATTTATACGAGGTCCGTGGATTGGAGATCGAGATGTAAGAAGACCTAGTGGTTGGCAAAGAGACGAGCAAGATTACTTCTATCTCGATGAGTATGAATACCGTTTCAGAGAGCGCTCGAACTCTTTCCATGAGTACTCCGAGCCATTAGTTGAGAGATATCCCAGCCCATCGCTCGAGGATATGGTTAAGGCACTAGAGGCTCACACGTTGAGATTTCTGCAAGAACACTCCGAGCCATTTGTTGAGAACGACCTTGGTCCGTCTCTCGAGGATATGATGAAGGAATTGACGTTGAACACCCTTGACTTTCAGCAAGGTGTTGAGGCGAGCATCAAGAGCCAAGAACTAAGCATAAGGAATTTACAAGGCCAAATGAGCCAATTGGTGGAACAGATGGACCGACTAGTGTATCGGCTCGAAACGAGTCCAATGAGTTCGAGCATCACCCATTCATGCAACAAGGGAATACAAGTCTCGAATGCAGGGTGAGGTCAACACCTCAAAACACATACATTAAGTCAAGATATAAAATCAACACCTTATCTTGACCTAAAAAGGAAATCACAATCAGACTTAGCCGAACTTGATTCGACTAAGTTGTTCGTGGAGTCCTGTGGACATTGGAACTCTTGGACTTAGACTCAACCAAACCAATTATGGAAGTCCACACAATTTCACATAATGGATAATTAAAACAAGTCACAAGAATAACATGCGAGCCGGTTCTCATATTTTAACACAATAAACTACATATTAAAATAATTGCCGAGAAAATCATATATTCAAGATGGTTCAGCAACCCAACGAGTTAGGCTCTTAAATTTTATCACCAAATTAACCTAACTGGACTTAGTAAAATCACCAAGTTTCAGCCCTTAACTCAATAAACTCGATTTTATAAAATTCAAACACGTTTACAGCAAAAAAGAGTATAAATCCACAACCTGAACTAATGAACGAATTAACATTCGAAATTTTTACATAAGCATCTACAGCATGTGAGTAACAACATATAAAAATTTCATTTATTAACATTAAAAACACGAATTATAAAAATTAAAACAAGATTCTGCAGAATTCGAATTTTCAACAAAACGGAACTAAAATGAACTCAATTAAATCAAAAAATTTTACATCATGCACCAAATCATAAATTAAGCCTAGATACCAAAATTCAGCAATTTACAACAATAGGTCGATTTTTCATAATTAAAACAAGATTCAATAGTAAATTACAATTAATTATTTACTCTAGCAAATGAAGTCCAACAATCATGAAATTTTTACACAACATGTAAATACGACAGAGAGACAACATACTCAAATTTTGGCCAATTTGCAGCACATCTCTGTTTAATATGCAATTAACACGATTCTGTCCATAATCAAAACAATTAATTAAAATAGCTACAATTGGTATTAAATTCTTAAATTTTTACACGACCTATATAATTAACAGAGGACATCACACACAAAATTTCACATTAATCGGAGCAGCATGCGGTTTATCATGAATTTAACACATATACGGCAACTAGTTGAGCTCGATAAATCATAAACAACATATAATTCATTTAACTCAATTATTTCGTCCGAGTAACCATAAGGCCAAGGACTTCCAAACGTCCCATATCCACAGTATTCACACGACTAATAAGCGATCTCTTTCGATTTCACACGAACCGAAAGGATCCCGACACAACCACATATTAATTAAACATAACATGAAATATAAACTTTGCAGCTATAACATGATATAACATAAAGGCTATAAGAACACAACACAGTACACATAATACATAATTAAACGAGGATTACATATAAACTTGATGCATACTAAATATTTATGACGTTCTATTTAATGATTAACTATCAATTATATATACATATAAACTTGATGCATACTAAATATTATATTGTAAATTTTATATAGGGATTACAAATATCATTCATTATTTTTTGCAACAAAATAAAAACCAGGATTATATTTTATGCATGCATATAATTATCATAATTATAAATCATAACTCAGAATCTCATTAAGTGATAAAGTAGACTGCACCAATTTTATTCATCCTCGCACAATTTTTTTTTTAAAGCTTGAATTGAAAAATCAAAAATATTAATATTTATCTCATCACATATGTATGACAATCGCATAATGTGTGACAACAATAGATATATGCTCCAAGGGATACTTGAACAACACCAGACGGTAGGCATGCATCACGAAAAGATTATACTTTCCTTTATTTAATTTGTTTGCAGTAACTGAAATTCTTTTCTTGTACTGTTATCCCTATCACAATTAACTTTCAGGTGCCTATAT